TCTGTCGAGCAAATCTCACGTGTTCTGGCAACATTTTTATTCAGTCGCATCTAGCACGCACGCCAACCTTGTTTCATACATCATTTTGACTTTTAACAGTGTCTACGGCCAAGTTGGAAAATTCGTCCACCCGTCTTAAGAGGTAATAAACGGAGAACACGTGAAGCGTCTCAATCTTTCCAAACTCTCAAAAGTATCAATTACCTGCAACTTTTGTTGGAATTGCAACCCAGCAAATGGAATCTTGTTACCGAGAACGCCTGTAGGCGGGACCGAGCTTAATCTGCACGGGGAAACCGACAATTTACACTATCCAATTGGGAGACACCAGCATCCAACCAAAAGTCATCAGGGAGCCATCGACCCCAAGGGCGCACTCAGACGGCCAATCAGGAGTTGGACGACTATTTTGGAAGTCCGGGTGCGCCTCACATGCGTGCACTCGGCGAATACGTGCGCACTGAAGCATACGTATGAAAGGCAATGAAAGAAGCCCACACGAAAACCAAGGCTTGATTCTTGCTTACGCTGAATAACGGCTCATCGTCTAAATCAGCTTTACCTTCTGTTGGGGCACAAAACAGATCTGCAGATGTGGGTCGGATGTGGTTATGTAGCCCTACCTGAAGATAACAAACTCTATTCGTCTTTAATACCGGACCGGTGGTAATAAGGGCTTTTATAAGTGGGGCCTGGGTACACAGGGGACGAGGTCAGGTACAATTAGTGACCTAACTCATGAAATGTGTCGGAATTTACGCTTGATTGCCAATCACTCGCAAACCGACACCATACCATGAGTTCAATGTCTCTGTTAATTAAGACACATATAAAAGAATTAAAAACATAAAAGAAATATTAAAGGCAGTGTTGTTTTGTTTAGAAATGCCGATTTTTTAGAAAAGCGCAATATCTCGAGAGCGTCAGAAATGGCTCTAATTTAGTAAACATCATTTTGGATGTATAGAATGTATTCTCATACCAAAACGTAGTGAATGTGAAAGTAGAAGTAAAATCACGTCGACTAATAGTGTTTCAGTGAAGTTTACATCTAAATATTGTCTAATAATTAGTGCGATCTCATATATGACGGTTTGTTAACCGCCTACATTCTGAGTGTAGATTCAAAAACAGTTTTCCAGGGTTTTCTTGTTATCCTTGACTCGTTTGAGTTAAATGAGATGGGGTTCAGTAAGAGAAACTGGATTTTGCTTGATTTCACCAATGGAGACGTCGTAGGAACAAAAGTTTCCATAAGGTGACATGTTTTCAGCCCGAGCGGTGCCTAATAAATTTAAATAGAACTGAAAGGCGTGACTGTAAACATACGATTTTGTGTTTATAGAGAGAACTTTTTATCCGTTATATTAATTTATACTTTCGTTCGTTGTGAATTACGTTGAGTTCCAGATCGGCCTCGAAATGTTGCTGAATACTTCATGGTTTTCAGCCGATCTTCATAAATACAGATTCTGAATTACCTGTCTGTTGAGATCTTCAAAAGAAGATTATTCTTGAAGACATTTACCGAATTACTGAGTGTTCAGGCGCTCCTTTTCAACAAGGAATCCCTATCTGCGTTATTACTGCACTTTAGGATACCAAATCGCACATATCTGCTAATTTTGCATTTAGAAATCGATAAAACCTATTGTTTTCTAAAAATAATCTTTGTGTTAGCAGGTTGAATACCACGGTTAACATCGGACGTAAAATAAATTTTCGAGATTGGATATATCTGTCTATTAAAACCCTCGCGGGTAAATTACTATCCTTTCGATGGAAAAGTCGCTCAGATGCGTAACCGGAGTCTAGGACATGTATTAGCACAGGAAATCGCACAATTATATTTCAGCGTCCATTTTTGCTTAAATTTACTGATATTTTACTTGATATAATTGCGCAAACGAAATTTCTGCGCAAGAAAAAGACATTTTATTGAAGGATGTGGATGAGCAAGCAAAATGCGCGACGTTAAAGACGTCCAGAAATTGTCGCATCAGTTTCCGTTATCAGATTTCATGAGATAGGTCACGTACTGCATGGCAGCTACTACACCGACGCCTCCCCCCCCCCTCCGGTCATCCTGACGTTGTCTTGCCATCAGACCGAAGATGATGAGAAAAGAAAGAGTGTGATAGATGCTGCGCAAGTTCGCCCATTATAAACTAATTCCCCGCGGGTCAACGCGGCTGCGCCCACTCCGTTGCGACATCCTATGAGAAGAGGCTTTCGTGCAGACGCCGCCGGCGCCGCAGCCGCAGCTGCAGTGACAAAAGGGCAGTCTGTCCATCTAAACAAAGTACGGATCAAACGCCTTGGCAGCCAAAACGGTGATAATGACGAGTGAAGCATGCGATTTGCGATGGCGACAATTTCTGAGGCTTTACAAGTTTTCCTTTGTAAAGGCGCAAAAGCCCGCACAAGAGAGGTAAACAGCGAGAAATAAGCTTTGTCCAGGGGTTCTATCACAAGAATCCTTTTTCGACAAAATGTAAGTCATGTATTCGCACTGGGAACGGGTAATCGATGGACAGCTTCAGTTAGTAGGCAGCCAGTAAGTCTTGAAAGTGTCAGGATTCTCAAAGACCGCCATAGGAACTGCCCATCTGAATTGCAATTGCCACTTTGTCCGCCTGCGCCCTTACACACACACTTGGAGTAACAAATCTTTGGGTATTCGCAGATGTGGTCCATAAAAAGGGTGCGCAAGATCCATAAGACATTACTTGTACTTTGTGCAGATTCCACCATACCTGATCTAGTCGGTCTCGGTGACGCCACGTCTTGTACCTCTCTACGCGTGGCTACTTGGGACAGCGGATTTGGACAGTCATTATGGCCGGCACATAATCTAGTCCCATGATTTGCCACAGGGACTCAAGATGACGGAATCGAACACAACAGCGAAGTCAGCAGACTAGACGGCCATCGGCTGTTGGCAGTCATGATTGAATTCCAGAATCCACATCAGTGCTAACGTCCGGTCTGCGCATCCACGCCCAGACTAGAACCGTCTGAAAAGGACTACAACGCAGACCATCTCAGCAACGCCGATGGGGCCTACGCCGCGGTGGTTCTCGTCCTTCGTCATATCTCACTTCTTGAAGACAGGCACAAGGGTACCCGAGCCCCTGTCAATAGGAACTACTGTACTGCACTGGGCTTCAGGAGGCGAAAGCCTCCTGGGTTCTGGGAGAAACAGCGGATAAAATAAAGGGCTTCTTCTCGTGGAAGGATATCGAAGCTCTGGCTGTACTGAAAGCGCAGTTACTTTGAAGACTTCGTTGTCAGGATCAGTCTGGAGAACCTTGTAACCCCAAGGGAAACAGGTAGTCTGTAAACAAGTCCCTTCCTTTAGCTGTGACTAAACATGGCCATACCGCCGACATGAATCAGTCAGCAGTCAAACCGCAGACATGTCAAGGGAAAGCAGAAGGTCTATTACCCCCTTCATCATGAATTGTGTGAGGCAGTCATACCCGGTAGGGCGCTCTGGATCTCAACAGGACATTTAGGCGACTTCAGTCAGAAAAAAATCATAACACACACTCTACGTAATCGCGTACAGAAACGACGACCGCCTTCAAGGTCGTTCGTACGTTCCCCGTAAGAAGGGTCTTCTGTCCCACGCTTGGGATACTGAGGCTCTGTCAAAGGGTTACACCGTAAAACGACGAGACAAATATGAGGTGTTTGCCACCATAACTGCTCCTGCATTAAAGGCGTCGATGGGAGTAGACATGCTGTTTGCTGTGTCTAATTTTTCCCTTGGCACACCTGAAGCAACCGAGGGCGAAAGACAGCGACAGCAGAGACGCTGCTGGTTGTCATTCATCGCTGTTGCTTACACAGTCGCCAAACCTGGCAGGTCAATTCAGCCGGATTGAATTCTTAATCCTATAGCGTCGTAACGTACATATCTCTTGAGCAATTAATTCTTCCAATGAAAGGGGAACTGTGCAACAACTATAGCTACTATACCACTGCAAGTACTACGTTACTATGGCTACAAATTAACTTGCGTGTAAGCCGCAGCTCATTTGCCTACCATGCTGTGGGACGGAAAGTGGACACGCTCGAACAGTCATCCCCAACGCAACAACACAGCTACTTTAACGGGTACCGCGGACCTTTACCGTCGCTGTTTTGACCTCTCGTCACGGTACGGCCCGTTTTCCTGGAGGTAGGGACGGGGAGGTAATTAATGCTACACTAGTCCCTTTACACTACGTCCGAGCATTGTCTATGTCCCATATTGCCTCAAAACCCGGTAAAGGATCCTCTGTCCTTCCTACAGAGTAACACTGACAAGGGGAAGAGATTACCGTAGCCGGTTTACTTCAATTTTCCAACAATAAGAGGCAAGGAAACTCTGTCATGTCCACCGTTTTCCGTGGATACCACTTATCCTCCGCGAGACTTCTAAATAGATTAGTTTGGTAACCTGTGATGATTTTCAAGCAAGACTTCTGTTGCTCATGAAAATCTAATTAAAAATTGTATGGAATGCATAAAATTACGATAACAAGTGTTCAAAAACGTGACTGATTAGATCTAAGTGTAGGCTGTATGCGTTGTTTATATTTTCGTCATCAGACGGGAAAAGTCTGGCTCATCCGGTGAATACTCCCCTGGAAGTTTGCACCCTCTCCCTTTCCCATCATACAAGCAATGATTAAAGTGTATGCTTAAAGTTAGTCATGCAGCAGCTGGAAAGGAGGAGCCCTCACCCATTTGCCCAACAAACTGTTTAAAGTAGGCGTCCAAATGAACGAGAAGCCGGCCGCGAGTATTTAGATTTAGTTGGCAGCAACATACGGTCATTCTCACCGACCGATTTGATTTTAACTTTCAGCCAGGCCTGAACAACGCTCAGGCCAAAGGTTAGGTGATCACACAGCTTCATTTGAATAGACCCATGCACTGCATTATCGATCCGCACTGGGCTGTCCTTAGGCACTGAAGTGTAGTGCGGTTCTGCTGGGCGGGCGTACGCCATGTATTGTTCAGATACGCAGACCCTGGTTCAGCGGACGGCGCCCAAGGAGGCTGTCCCCTGCTTCCCCGAACAGGTCTATGCTGCAAACGATGGTGTCGAGACGGGTATCTCTACTATCGGCTTCCGTTCGGGCCGCTATGCACCGTCAGAGGCCCAGGAATCCATTGACCGACGCTACATGCAGAGCCATCTGGATAATGAAATCAGTAAGCAGACCCGAGAGGACAGCAAGGACCTGATGCGTGAGACGAATGCACTGACAGAAGCTGACTTCAAAACCACCACCGACCGCCTCAAGGAGAGACTCACCGACCTCCATTTCTGGAAGTCAGAGTTGGAGCGCGAGATTCTTGACATGATAACAACAATTGATCATCTAGTTCAGTGTAAGGTCCGCGTGGAGAAGGCCCTATTGGCGATAGATGAGGCTATTCTAATCTGCACAGATAATTTAAATGCACGTCAACGGCGGTTTGGCGAGGACTTACAGCAGGACGCTGTGGAACTGAGCCTGATTAAGGTATGTTTTGCAAAGCTGAGGTTGCTATTGGCTAGTGAATGAGGGCAATCGGAAAAAGTCTCACATAACGATTGTCATTTCCAGACTAAAAGTGTTAATTTTCATGGAAAGAAGGTCGTACACAGAGGAATTTTATGACACGCCTTCAAGTTAACCGTTGGAAATGTCATTTCAGTTAGTAACAAGGTCAGCCAGAACATATCGAATAGTGTTTCGTCGATGAACCCTGAAATTCTGCCTAGGGACAGTAGGCTAGTTGCCAATTATTGATGGATTTAAAGAGAATGCATTTCGTTCTAGAAATGTCTTCAGAAATACGAAAAGGTTTGTAGAGAGCTTTTTCAAACGTCTTTGCCCTCTTTCTGCCGGTGGTAACCATGGCTATCAGATGATACCAGAAAAATTGTAAATGTGACGCGCTTTGAAACTGTTGCGGCCGTTGAAGTCCGGGGCATGGAAGGCTGCCAACTGATGGGATAATTCAGTCAACATTAGAACATTTTGGAGAAACGGACTAACAATCGGGTTGCGTCGACTCCTTCTTGATGTGGCCTGTTTGGCACTTTAACCTAGGTGGCATTCGAGCCGGGTTCATAAAGTATGGCAAATGCTGTGGACACCGGGTTGTGTGGGGCACGCGTAGCCTTGTCAGCCGCTGCTCCCAATCCCGCCTCCGGTCATTTTGACGCTGTCCTACGACTGCAGTGGAATTGGTGACGCAGGAGGTGGTGCGGCATATAATGCGCAAGTCCACCTTATCATGAATTGATTCATGTTCAAGTCGCTGGTGCTGGGCCCACTCCGTGGAGCACACAGTACACGTCGTCGCCTTCGATAGTCAGACCGTCATCACCAGGGGTAATTACATGCTCACATTCATACGTGATCCGCAGGGACAAATAATACCAGTTTGCGGGAACCGACGAACTTCAGTTATCTAAAGCGTTTGTGACTCATCTGATGGACCTCTTCTATGGCCATCTGCGCTGTCTGCACACGCACGTCAATGTTGCATGACCCAATTGTAATCGGGCTGTGGTTGGCCAAATGACGACAGCACAAGCCCTGAACAATACTTTGCCAATCTACTCGCATCTGTAGGCATTATCTACTGTCATCATAACCTAGCCTGGCAGGTAGACAGGGTTCTAAAACCTCGACCGTTGGTGTCGTCATTTGGACTGCCGACTGATGTTGTCTGCGCTAAAAATGGCCTCCGGCGGGAGAGTGTTAAGCACTCTGGGATCACAGTAACAACGAGGAATGACATCCACCCATACTTAGACAGGGAAAATACGATTGCTGGAACAAAAAGCTATTCGCCTAGCGTTTTAAGTGCTCACTGGTACTTATCGTCAGAGGCAGTCGCGAGAGGAGGCAACCAGTCAATCCGAAAGCTAATGGAGTCATGGTTCACCGGCCTGCAGGCGATTAACGACCACAGTGGCCTCCCAGCCCCGTATTCTGTTCTGAGACTTTGCCTGGACAAAGTAACTGGCCGTGTAGGAAGGATTCGAGTAAACACCGCTGCCAGTGACAACATCAAAAAATCGAATTTCCAAGTCACGCCAATAATCCATAAGGGTGATTCAGTTACTGCAGTTAGCCACTTGGATGTGGATGAATAAACGATCATTGAACCAAATGCGGGCCCTGACGATAAAGACATCAGCTGTTAACTACGATAGACAAGTGTTGCATTCCATGGGCGTTCACCACACTTATCCGCGACTATTTATGGTACTGCGTCCGAGTAGGAGTCCGAAACTGCAGGCGGGTAAACTTCTTGTTTCTGAGATTACATTTCGTTCTGAACGACACCATGAAACTCACCTCTGCACCGCTATAAGCAATCCGCTAGACTCTTAGGAGGAAAATGATAATGAATAAATTAATATTACTTTATAAAGCTGGAAATAAAGCAGGACTGCCGGCGTCGACCTTAGGGTAGCAAAATGTATGGTCTAATCCCTCCCCTATCGCCTTCCTCCTCTTCCTCTCAATCAGCGTTTCGACGTAACACGTATGTCAGCGCCGTCCTTACTATTGTCATCCTCCCCCTCCCCCCCCACTCCTCCTCCTCCTCCTCCTTCTCCTCCTCCCTGCCTTCTGTTCTCCCTTTCTGCATCTTTTTCCTTGTCATCACTATTATTATCCCAAATCCGCGTGGGGTTAGTTTACTTCAGGATTCATTATCTTTGTACTGCCAATTTAACATACAGTAAAGTCAATGTAACTGTATAAACATAAGTTCACAATCATCCTAATCACCTTAATTAGCCTTTAGACCGACTTTTAATCCTTTTAATGACAGTTCATAGTTCGCTTAACGATGGCAGCTGGCCTATGATTTAAGTTGAAAGCAATACATACGATCAGTTGAAGAAAAGAGAAAAACTGATTAGGAAAAATCGTTCAAAAACACTACCCTGCCTTTCTGGGTTCATAGACCACAGCGCTATCAAGGTGTGGTGGTTGGCAGAGCGAAGATTCCCACATTATAACCATGGAGACCGATTCGATAGGGCGGTCTTTTCTGTGACAGGGATCAAGCAAGCAACTCAGAAGTCGGCAGTTGTCTTTTTACCGCGCGGTTTTTGTTATTGTTCACAGTGCGAGATATCTGAATACACCTAAATCATGCCCCTCTTCATCCAATCAACAAAGGATATAATGTCCATCGGAGCCAAACCTCTGGCTGAGCAATGTGCGGCACCGAGGTTCACTCGACAAGGTGCTTTAACTGAACTAAAAGTCCTAGGGTTATGTGGCCACACTTACGACCACCAGGATTGACAGCCACAGTACTCGCAGCCGAAGTCAAAATAATTTTTAATGTCTAAAAAACGTGACCAATTAGATGATCGACACTTGGACGTAGCGTCCACTTAGTGCAGCATAGACGGTGGAGCAGATGATGATGTTTGAATGCATGCTGTTTGGGGAGAGTCGGCGGTTGAGGATGAATTTGAAAGCAGATAACACGAAGAGACGTGGGTCAGGTGAAGTAGAGAAACAGGAGCGGGGGGGGCGGGCAGGGTCCAGCGTATTTTTGTTCGCAGAGCTGATCAGACATTGCTCTGGTAACGGTGCCTTGACTCAGTCAGCACTGACCTCTCCCTCGTCACCGCGACAGACCCCGGATGGGACTAAGGGGGACGGTCTGGTCGACCGGCAGAAGACCTTTTGCTCCTTATCTTATTCATAAACGTCCTGCGATTCTCCCGAGTCACTCGCAGAAAGTACTCCCCGGACAAAGACTATGAAGACCTACTTAGGATTGTGCAACTGGGTATAAGTGTATCTGGCAGGGTTCTTGGTGTTTTTTTGGGCATCAGCTGCTTGTTTTCCTTGTCTGTACGAAGAAACCTAACCTCCCTGACGGGTTCCAGGTCACACACCCTTTCCTCGGACATAATTATCTCATAGATTATGGGCATGAAAATCTTTACACGGTGCTTACAAATCTTCCAGCCCGTCTCGGTCCACTTTTGAAACGTCAGGAAGAGAGTGGATGATGAAGTGCTTTGGGCACCCCCGTTGACGTAGATTTTTGAGAGAAGCAGACTGGAAGAAATGTAAGCCCTCGATAGCCGATATGCTTTTTTTACTGGGTGGATTCAGTAGATGACCTCCTGACCTCCTTATCACCACCTAATTCGAGCACCACGGACATGATTAAGCAACGGAGCGATTCAGGTATCCGAGTGATAGTTGTGGGGCGCTCTAATTGTCTGTTGAACCCTCTCTGACCTCAGGATTTGTCTGTATAGGTTTGCCTATTAACGACGTACACGAAGAGATGCCCGCTGTTGGAGGATGTTTTTTCTTGCTTCTTTGAGGTTGGCGCTCCCTTATTTCAGATGCCACGCAGAGGACTTGATGATGAGACGTCTTAATTTCCCGTGCTCTAACCGGACAGGGGATCATTTTCCTTCTTGTTGAATATCCTAAAAGCACTATCGTGGCCTCAGAAGTGCGCATTAAGCTCAGCAAACAGAGTGTCATTAGTTTCTTTTTACAGGAACTCGACGTCCTTAACAAGTCGGCTGCATTGTACAAGCGAACAATCGAGCAACTCAATAATCAGATTAAGTAAGCCCTTTTTGCCCCTCATTTTGTTTTTTTTATATTTGTTACTTTACTGATGGCTCTCTGACCGTCTTCTGCCATACTATGGCTCTTAGTAGTCAATTATTAAAATGACAGTCTCTTCGAGAAACTTCCCGTCATCCTTTTGCTTTTACTTTAACTGCAAACTTAAAAATGTTTGCGCCTCTTAATATATGGAGATTTCGCCCTCGACGGGGTCAAAATTTTAATTGTGAAAACTTCGGCGGCCTGGGTGGTGTTGAAACCCGCCACAGTAAGGGCAAATCTTGTGCACAACCAACGCTATAACTGCCTGGGCTAGAGGGCCCAGCTGATGACCTCGAGTCTACTCAAATTGGTTTATCCGGTGGTTAGAACGTTGGCTGTGCATAGGCCTTGCACTTTCTGTCGTGAGTTCGAACCCCACTGAGGCCGCCAAGTTATTCGCAAATGGGCCAGATGAATCACCAAAATTGGCCGAAACACCTGTTAAGTCCCTAATAGTCTAACCTGTATCCCTAGGTTCATTAGTGCTGCATACAAGACATAAACTTCCCCCATATCTACGGAAGTACTTTTAAAACATTTGAAGGCCTCCTTATGTGGAAGTGAGGAAGTGACTGCGCTGGATTTAAAGAGGGCATAATGCATGCATTTTCATAACTGAAAAACACATAAATACAGGTCGTTTCTTAACAAACCGAGAATTAGTTCGGAACTTTCGCATCAAATACCCCCCTTATTTCAAAAAAACTATTTGAAGAAGACCTACCGTCCTACAAAGTGAGTATGAGATATGATGTTTTGTATATTAAGGGGCTCAGTTACTAGAACTTAAGGCAAAGCCGCACGCTATATAACTAGCTATTTTTCACCGAGTACGATTTGCACAACTGCTTGAAAAGACGTCTAGCCATAATTGAACATGCTTCCGCGTACGAAGTAGCTTGTTATTATGTCCCTTGCTGTTTCGTATAGAAAACGCAAGCTGGTAATTTTACTTAGTTGAATGCTTATTTATAAAAGTCAAGTCCAAGTTTGATTGGTTTTGGAGGCCACCAAAAGTATTTGACTTCGATTTCGGAATATTTTTAGGCAAGGACTCAGTATGAGACCCCACTCAAAGAACCGAAGCTAGGTGTTTGTGTAATACGGGTTTTATGCGTGGGGCTAAACGACGGAAAGGAGAGCACGATATTAGATAAACATCCGGACACATGTTGAGACGGCATATTGCGTACTCGCGCCAAATTTCTCTACAGCTATTTGCAAAGGAGCACACGTACCAGGAACCAGATCCTCGAAGAATGGTGAGGGTGTTAGGTTGTCTGACAGTGCAAGAAAAATTGGGCATTTTTCACATTTTTTCCGGTTCATTTTCACGAAAGACGTTGATTACATTTTACCTAGCTACAAGAGGGCAGAAGCGTCGATTATGAGAAGGACGAGGAAGCAATATGGCACGAAGACGTGGTTTTTGTTTACTGAATTTGGTCGCATACTGCGTCTCTGTCTATTTTTATTATATTCCTGATGACTGACTTAAATCCCAGCCTTTCATATATGAGAGCAGGAAAATTTGAATTTATACGATATGGAGTCCACCTAGATTCATCCTAAGTAATGAACGAATGACTCCCATAAAAATGAAGATGTAAGGCCCATGTCCGCATGCTGCTATGAAATTAGATCGGTTAGAATCTCTCAGGTGACTTAGAATACCAAGATATCTCCAGTAGTTGGAAGCTTTGGAATAGTTATTCGAATCTTCCACTTTCAAGTCAGTTGCGACGGCGTCGTACTTTTACGGACGGAACCACTTATATCACAACTCAAAACCAATATTCCACCAATGGGATTCAGACCACCGCTCGGATATGCTAAACTGGGCGTATTTTGCAGACGGATAGTTGATCGATAACCACTCCCATTCGCTCTGCTACTGAATATGCATTTTATTCCAACAGTCCAACGGACCCGTCTAATTTCGTAGCTTTTTTTCTGGCGAAGAGGGGGTAGTTAGTGCGTACCCTGGCCGATTCTGAGCCTGAGAGGGGTAACCTCTCCTTACGTGACTTAAACCGTGCAGTCAAGAAACATAAGTAATTCGCTTGGCAACAGTTCTTGCCTTCGAAGCCACTTCCGTAACTTTTCAGTGGCGTTTATGTCTTAATAACACTAACACATCCTTCTGCAAAATACACCCAGTTTAGCCTATCCGAACTGTGGTCCGAATCTCATCGGTGGGATATTGGTTTATAGTTGGGATTTGAGAGGTCCCCTCCGTAAAATTACGTCGTCGTAACCGACCTGAAAGTGGAAGATTCAAATAACTATTCCAAAGCTTCCAACTACTGGAGTTATCTTGTTATTCTAAGTCATCTGGGAGATTTCAAGCGATCTGACTTCACAACAGCATGGAACAGGGGCCTTCCATCTTCATCTTTATGGGAGTCAATCGTTGCTATTTAACATTCGTCTGATTCCTCATCTCACCCAATCTTTAATCGTCTATGCGGTTTACCCCTGTACCGACTACAGACGCGATCGCGATGTAAAACAAGACCTTGAGATGGCTTGGAGCGACAAACACGAGGCAGACTTGTTGGATACTGAGGGTGGCCATCTAAAACCAACCTCCACCAACAAGCAACATTATCCGGGCGAAGCACGTGCTTACCCACAGGCCGCACAGTCCACAGTTGAATCCTGGACCCAGCATCCACATGACATTATTCTGCGAGCGGAGCACGAACGTATGGCCAGTGAGCAGTTGCTGCATCTCGCCTCAAACATCATTAATGACGTCACGCGGGATGTCATTCATCAAAAGGATGTTGTCAATGCGGCCTTTCAGAAGAGGCTTGATGAATATGAGGCTGACAAGTTCAGACTCACGGGCCAGCTCAAAGCGGTGAGCAGAATTTTGTATGGGTGGCTGGGATGGCTCAGTTTAAAGTTGCAAAGCAACATTTTCTATGCAGTGATGATTAACGTGTGCATTTTTCAGGCGAAGCGGACTTCTGCCGCATCTATTTCGCCCCACGATCTCCATACCGGCCGTGTTTTGCTTGTGGGGGGGGGTGGATCATGACGAATAGCAATAGGCACGGAGGCAGGAGGCCAACAAGACCTGATGGTCTGCTTACGCCAGTCAAGCATTACCCAGTCCTTCGCAGTCTCTCCGCAGATGCCAGGTTTCGATGAAGGAGTCCTATGTTTCTCACGTTTGGACGACGCCGTGGAGGCCATATTAAGACGGAGACATTGAAGTCACCCCCCCCCAGTCCTTGATAGGCCCACATATCTCACTGTTTAGTAACTCTCTAAGTCACTACCGTTAGCATATCGCAGTAAGCTTCAGGCGCGTTTAATTTCTTTTCGTGAGGAATAAGACGATTTGTCATTTGAAGGAGTGCCTCCGTGACAATCCCATTGCCTTCCCTCTCTCTAGTGTACTGGTAGCCTTTCCGAGCTTGACGCTTGACGGGTGATGGGACTGGACACTGTGGATGAAGTAGCGTGGGCCTCCTTTTAACGCGTTATACGTATGCCCGGTATGGGTTAGGGATTAAAGCAGACTCAAAGCAGCCCGACCAACGCACGCAATGGGCTGCTCCGGACTGCTTGAACTAAACGCACTAATGGCACTTCCCGCAGCCAGCAGCGAAACCGGAAGCACAAGTTTAAGAAAAATGATGGTAAAAAGGCTACTGGAAGTATGTTATTACCGAAAAAGACAAGGGAGACTAGAATGGCCATTTCTGGCATATTAGCCGTCGTCAGCCGGTCATACCCAAATCCCGAAGTGTGGAACACCCGAGGCTCTAACTCGCGACCTGCTAGTTAGAAGTCCACGCGTCCAACCACTGTGCCACGAGCCCGTTGCCCTGTCGGTTTCGATCGGGAATATACAATGGTGGGGGGCGCTCATCGATCGTTCTTACGGAACTCACTCGTTTCGTTGTGCCTTAAGGGATCTCTCTCTCGAGCTCAACCAGCAGCCGCACAAGGACTAGCCTACATAAATAGATGCATTCGCACTGCACAGAGGGTGTACAGATTTGGTCTAGCTGACCGATCTGCAGCATCATCGAGCTGATTTTCGTCAGCGTCTCGCCACCCTCCTGGACTCGGCATAGATAGGCTGGGTATTTATTTACGCAGGAATATGCGAAGACAGACTTGCCCGGTTTCTTGAGAAAAGCAAGCTGGGAATGAAATTGCAGCTAGCGTGGCGTTTCAAGTGCGTGTATGTCTTTTGTCCCTGGCACATAACGACCTTAAGGTGGAAGGGATATGCGCTCAATGAGCCTGTAAGAGAGCCGATCACGGGCGCCCAGAAACTCCTTATCACCCACTCTACCCACCAAGATGATTGACTCATTCCTGCCAACATTCCCGCTACGGAGACCCGTCCAGGACTCCGGCTGCCACCAAGCTTCAGCCCAGCATACATGCTCGTGTCCTTCAAATCCCACTAAATACAACCTATTCCTCTGGTCGTTTAAGTATAACCACTGCTAAAGCCGCTACAGGGTACTGCCAAACAGAAAGACATATTTATGTACTGTGAGCCTGTATAAATCAACGTCTTACGTGAAACAAAAATGATAAGTAAATCTATTATACTATGACTGGTAACTGAAAACTTATAATCTGTCTTAAGAAAGCTTTATTTTCAGCCTAAAAATTAGTACAAAATGACCGACATTAAAAAAATATGAACTTTTCGTTTTCTTATTCCAATGAGAACCAAGTCTTTTCCCTCTTATACATTCTGACATATTTTCCAGAAAACATGCTCAAAAATATCCCCTATTTTGCCTAGTTTATGGCAAATTACGTCTTCTTCTAATGTTACATTTGAAGGAAGAATATTTTTCGCTTTTAAACGTTTGTACGTGTGGTATTTATTAAAACCGTGAAATATCATCCATTAATCAATAGTGGTTACTGATAAGTGTGCTGATTACGAGTTCTGTAAGACATCTTCAGAGCATGTATAAATGTGATTTGCCTTACAGAGAAAATATATAGCTTGTAGTTTGGAGGTCCTGAATACGATTGCAACGAAAGGTCACGTTGATAATTATTCCGGAATTGAGATTTTTGAAGTCGAAAGATACGCTTTCTCCCAACATTAAGTTTGAAGTCGATGAAGTTTGCTACGAACTGAGAACGGGGAAAAACATTTATGAGTATGTTTTCTATAGAACATATTTGGATGTATAAGGTCATCGAAAATCGATTGAAAAAAATCATAGTACTGAAGCGGTCATTTATTGGGGAACTTGGCTTTTATAAGCGGCCAATAAGAAGCCAGTTCAGAAGCCGGTATCCTGTTGTGACCGAAATATCTTGTGATTATGCTGTACGATAGTTAAACTTACGATTCTATTTAAGATATCCTTTCTACTCGAAGACACCTTTGAGAATTTCGGTTGGCATTTCCTGAGACAGAACATCTAATGTACGCGTCACTACGTACCGGCAAGCTCTAAGCATCAACCTGAGTTACCTCCTACATGCTATCATTTTTAACTGGGTATCAAATTACAGTTACATGTGTCAAAATTACTACAATGTGCATATTTTCCTAAGTTTGTAAAAAATATGATCGTTCTCAGATTTTACACTGGAAGTTAGGGATGTTTTTGCATATGTTTAAATGCAAATCACCTTTTCTCCGAACCGGCAAAGGTCCAGTTAATTTAAATAGTTTAACCTCAATTTCAGACGTGCGATGAGATTGCGGCAATGGAGAAAAATATCAAGGAGCTCGAACTTGCCATCGCAGCCAAGGACGCCTACGTTCAGACTGTTCAAACTCGTCTACATCTACACAATAAGAGACCAAATGTGGAAAATTGTCGGGACCCACCACAAAAGGCGTAAGTCAACTTTAATCAGTCTATCGTCCGAATGGGCCCTTAACTACGTTATATCCGTCCTTTCTGCTTTTTTGGAAACAACGATTCGGTTGCGCCGTAGGAAATTTGCCAAAGGTATCGAAGGCAAAAGCGAGCACCATGATGGTATCTCCAGAAGTCGTCGGTTCATGTATGTGTACACAATTCCAAGACATATAAATGAGCCTAAGCACATGAGGATTGACCATTTTCCATTTGTTATTTGAAGGAAACACTGATAATCACTAGATATGTAAAGTCAAGTTTTGATTACTGCAACATAACTGCTTATTTCTTCTAGACAAAATAGCATTATTGACAAAGACAGGGTAGCCTGGAATGGCCATGTCTGGCTTATTAGCCGTCATCAGCCAGTCATACCCAATCCTGAAGTGTGGAACACCTGGGGCTTGGTCCCGGGACGGATGGGTTCTCTAACACGATTGGTGAGAGCCCATTGACCACTATATATTTCCGATCGCAACTGACAGGACAACGAGTGGTTAGACTTCTAACTGACAGGCCGCGGGATTGAACCCCAGGTGTTCCACACTTCGGGTTGGGTATGACTAGCTGACGACGGCTAATAAGCCAGACATTGCCATCCCAGTCACCCTTGTCTTTGTCGACAATACCATTCAGCCTATATCATGCGCCGCTATGCGGCTGCTGGTTGGATTCGAGAGAGAGAGAGAGAGAGAGAGAGAGAAAGAGAGAGAGAGAGAGAGAGAGAGAGAGAGAGCGAGAGCGAGAGCCCAGGGCACTACGCGAGGAGTGAGTTCCGTAAAACGATTGGTGAGCGTCCCTCTATCATTATTTAATTTGTGTAATCGTGTCTCTCTAGGGTTCATCCATCGTAGTGTGTGTAGTGTTAGGGCTGGCCTTCGGATTTCGCGGTTAGGTTTAGTGTTGGGGTTAGAGTCAGGGTTGTCTTACTGCTAAGGTTGAGTTTAGGGTTGGGTTTGAATCTAAAGGGAATGTCAAGTTTATTGTCCGATGTATGAAAAGAGTTAGGGCGTTTGCTTGCCGCATGTCGTTCTACTCAATCTGCTCTTGATTAACTAAGATTCTTGGTTAACCTGCGTTCCGTCCGTTTGCACATTCCTAATTCGTATCTTTTAAATTACGCTGTCTCTTCCGGCACCACTTCGGTGTAATAAAATAAACATGCAGAAATGCAAATTCCCTCGATGCTTTCTACGGATTACGTTTAATTTTGTGTTCGTCTGCCCTACCGATAAAACTACCCGTTTTAATGGATACCCTGTGCTTTATTTCCTCAGCGGGCTTACTTGGCGAAACAGTAACCTGAGAGTGTTTGTATGAGAAGCAATCGTAATTTGTTTTGTCCCCCTTTTATCTACTGCATGTTATCTTCTAGCTAGCGAGTCACCCCAGTACACCTCCTGTCTCCGAATGTGACATTTTTCCCACTTCCTCATACCAATAGTCAACCCCCCAGTCATCAGACCGATTTTAGCATTTTTTCTGCGGGCCTGTACAAGAAAAACCACGATTCGGCATCAGTCTGGCAATCAGCTTACCTAGCCTTTCACGAAAACCCTTTAAATGCAAATAGCAGTTATTGCGAAAGCGAAATTGCTGTTTTTCCTTTTTATCATGAATAACGTTTACCTCTGTGCGCATGACGATGACTGCTCTCTAGAAGGCAAAGATTTTCTAAAACTCCAGGGAAAAATATTGTATTTGTTCGAGTTTTCCGCTTGTATACTTTCAGGTACAAAGGAAAAAACGCCAAGTAGGGGGTTTTTCAGTCTTTCTCAGCTATTTAGCGGTCGGCTTATTTAGGCCGCCAGATTGCCCCGATACGGCAATCTGAGGTTGATCTGGCTAGTTGCTGACTTCTGGTCAGATGCCCAGGCCTTATCATCTCACAACTTCTCGTGCTGACGGCTCGATCAATAGTCATTGGGTCCACAAGGATAAGGTTGGGGTAAATTCAACCACTTGAGATAGCTAACGACCTCGCCACATAGTCGACGTGTCCCCGAACCCGAACCCGAGAACCGAAGCGAGTTGCCATCCGTCGCCACATGGACTTGGCCTCATCCCGTCCAGTGGGCGGACGCAGTATGGATTAATTTTGATAACAGCGCGTAAATAATAACCTGGAAAATTCCACAATTGCCCTTTTTACAGCTTGTTTTTGATTCAACACCACAAAATACGTACACTTCACTGGGTAAGCCGAACTTCCCGGAAAATAGGCATCGTTTGCTTAATCACTCCAGCGCACATATACACAAGAAAATGAAACGATCGCCTATTACTTACTTAATCTTCCGCTGGTTTGCTTGTGAATAGCCACTGTCCACTGAGATTTATGTCCGAAACCCACGACCAGTCTTGGCCCATTTGATCGTCTGTTTGGTGTCTTGTTGAGCGAGGTTGATTTTTTCTCAGATAAACATTAGAATATTCCCAATCGAAGGAGTAAAACAGGCCATAAATCAGCATAAGACCGCGAAGAACCACTTTCGCAACCGTAAAGCATAACTTGAGTATCTACAACAGTCTACATCTTTCGATCTTATCTGTTGCCGGCTTTAGCCTTTATAGAGAGACAGATACAGTACCTTTGCGAAACCTTTTGTGGTTATATAAAGCCAGTAAAATAGCATTTATAATGTGAGTAAGTACTCGTGTAGGGGCAGGTATTCAGAGAACGTTACGTGGTTTTGGCCACTGCAGCGGAAGCCAGAATTTTGATTTCCGATGAAGAATGTGGCGACTGCCTTACTAAGGGTTTTTGCTTTTATTTGTTTGGTTTAGGATGCTTGACGAGTTGACTGATATTCAAAACTCCATTGATCGCCTTCGCGACAAGTTAAACCTCTCTGAGAACAACTTAAAACACCTCCAGGACACACAACTTATGCTGGAGAAGGAAATACACATGAAGAATAATTCCATTCAAGTGGACAAGGATCATTGTGTGCGTCATCGCATGTCCTTCCCGGACGCTGTGAGACTTCAGGGTCACTAAAAGCGAGCTGCTTCGCATGAAGGAACGTGGACCGTACTCCAAGCATGTACAAATTACCGTTCATACGAGGTGGACTATTGGCTGTTGCTATTTATGCGGAGTTACTTACACTGTTTAAGTAGCGTTACTGTCTAAATACCGTTTACGCCTCGACTTTTCAAAGTTCAACAGCGTTTGCCTGTTAGACGAAATGGGGTTGATATGGTTTCTTTAATGTTGTCCGCATAGACAAAAGTTGCAAGGTGTGACGCCTTGCCTTGCCGCAGGCTGATGGCAGGAGTTTATAATGAGGATGTGGCAAGGCAGACTGGGTTACTTCAAAGCACGCTGTTAGCACCCAATTGCAAACCTGGCGATTACCATGCGATGGGACCGTTCGTATCCAAAACTCCCACTAAGTGAATTCTACAAAATTAACTGCCGTATACTAAGGACAGAGTCGGTTTGTAGGAAGTGTTTGCAAAAGCAACCTTTGTCTTGGGTCCAGAGTGAGACGGATCCAATAGTCAATTTTTTAAAACCAAAACTCCCGACCAGCTCAACGACCGATCTCCGAACTACGGCATCCTCATCTACGGAAGACAGTCGACGTCATCTTAATTACCTTAATCTCTATGAGCACAAAAATTTGGACATTAAGGAAGAGACAGGGGCAGGACAATTATTTCTCAGATATTTGCAAAGCACCGAAACGATGGAAATGTCCCTAGGATAAGCGCACCAGTTTTCCAAGGGCCTTTACATGTGCTGACGGGAAAAGGAGGTGGGACCTAAACAACTGATGCTCATTGAAAAGTTTTGAAATGCATATAGTTTACAACAGATGAAGGAAACGATCGAGTATCGTTCGTTAATGATGTTAATTCATGACTCGATATTTTTGTAGCCCCCCCCCCTCACTATAGGATTGATAAATGACGTACCGTTTCCAATTTAGACAGTTCTAAAGTGACCGTGTTGAACTACAGAAACGTTCTGGAGTCCAGGTTCACAGGATATCAATCTTCTAACTGAAAGGCAAGAATCGCCCTATACAAGTTAGATGTTACATAAGTAAAATCGTATGAGGGGCGGAGATAATAATGACATTAATGATCCTCAAATCAGCACATCCCGGTGGAAGCATGTCTCCCTCAGGTAACATAGGCCACACGACAACAGGGATATGGAAAACTTCGAGGGCCTGATCAAAGGGAAGTCAACGGCTTCCCATTTGATATCTGTTTTTGGTGGTGATCCGAAATGTTTCACTTGTATGGCTGAATTCATGGGTAGGTGGGTTCAGTTCCTGTTAATTCTCCCACCCCCTCTACTGCCCTAACTTGGCGTTTGGTCAGTGTGATTTACTACTTTTATTATTCTGCCAGCACGTGCCTATAACAGCCCTGGAGAGTAGCGGATTGGTTATGGTGGCTCCTCAATCTCGGGTCTACTGGAGTTGAAGCCGCCCACTATTCCCCCTTCTCACTTTTCGGCGTTTCTGTCACGCTTATGGGTCAATTGAGAAGTTCTTAGCCCTCCTCAAGCTGCTACTGAATACTGGTCGACCCCCTATACCGTGTGCCCATAATTCTTCCCTAATTATTGTACGCGCATTCTGGGACCGGCTACGTTTCGTCCCTGCACGAGTTCGTTCAAACAACTAGGGGGAGGGGGCGGGGGGTGGGCGCAGGCATAAATTAAGAACTATACTGAGCCAGATGCCGACCTGATTAGTCTGTCGATCGTCCAACGTGTGCCGGCACACCTCGGGTATCTTCATTATTTCACCCCTGTGGTAGTTTAGGGATGCGACTTTGCACAGCCCAACACCGCATCAGTTCTCTTCCCTCGCCTTCCCCCCCCCCGCCCCTTCCTAGCCACCTTCCGCCCTACTTTGGCGCCTGGGAATGTCCATCTGCGGTCAGGTTTTCCGCCAGGGGGATGTTGTGATAAACAAAATCTCTCTCTCCCTTTTTTCTCGTGCTTCGGTTGTCTTGCCGTCCGCCCCCTAATGATCCCTTCATCAACATCGAAGCTACTGTTTATATCTACGTCTGGAGGTGTGTTTCGGTCTGGCGGTGAGCCCCTCCGCACTTTACTCCCACGGGCCTCCAGCTGTCAGCAGTAAAAATCGTGGTCACTGCTGTTCGGGGCGGGGAACGTTGACGGGAGATCCTTCGTGGGCCCACACCGCCCAGCCCGGGGGGGGGCTGGTACAGCTGAGTAGTGAACAGTGCTAGTTAATCCACCACATTCGGCAAGGAAGGCGGTGGAGGGAGGGGGGGGGCGTATGCAGCATCGACCTACTTCTCGCTGTGTGCACCCATCTTTTTTCTCAGTGGCAGGACTGTGTCAAGACAACCGCAGATGGGCTTGGCCCCAGTGACGGATCAAGCATTCCATCCCTTCCCTTCCATACACGTGAAGTTCACCCAAAGAACAATAAAGGGGCTTCCCGGACTAGTGTCGTATTGGGGGACCGCACTAGGGAACCAATGCGAGCTGGCCCACAGTAGAGCCAGCTGACGTGACCATAAGCCACGATACCTAAGGTACTGTGATAGCCCAAAAAACCGTCTGGTTGATTATAATGAGGAATCGGTGTATGGTATCTGTCTCACATTATCTTCTCCCACTCTCTCTCTCTCTCTCTCTTGTCATTTGCCACTTGCAAGACGAATAGGAGATGACCAGCAGTGAGATAAGGTTCGACGGGTTATTAAGAAGTTCACTCTCATCTTCGCATTTTACACAAATGTCGATTCGTTACCAAGCACAAACCAAACTTCATTCGACACTTGCTGACGTCTGAAGGCCTGGCAGTCTTGTAGGATCCAGTTAACCGTTTCACGCTTTTGGAGGCCCAAGACACACAGCAGTCTTCGTCGTGTCCTTTTTCCAATCTTATTGATAGGTGGAATACTTCGGTTATGAGTAAGGATAACGTTACCGAGGTTGCAGATAATATCGACGGTAACGTGAGTCACACAGTATCACCTTTTCTGCACTAGTAAAACAGTGATCGCTGAGGAGGGGAACGACGGGGAAGGTGAGTAGATGAGTTCTTCCGCCTTTATTCAGCCGACCATAACCCTGACCACTAATTGGCATCAGAAACACAAACATGCGCTCGTACATGGCGCAGATGGTCCACAGACCGCATCACCCGTCACTCTCTGCGGCTTCAGTTTGGGCATTTATCCAATCAGTAATGGGCCCACACCGACGCGCCTTGTGGACAGGGACCGACAAGTACTGCGACACCTTTCCAGTCCAGCCGCCATCAGGCAGAATGGAAACCCC